TCTGCCTGACTAATGCTGTGTCCCCCAGAGCCCAGGAGAGTACTGAGAGCCCAGTAACTGCAAGAAGCACAAGCAGATGATAACGAACTCGTGAAAACACAGCATCAGTCTGAAGCCACACATACTTTCAAACAAGGATTGCGCTATAGGACTCAGAAGGGGTGACTACTTCACCCTGGTGCATAGGAGACAGCTTCTGGAAGAAGGAAGATTTGGGGCTGAGCCTGAGATAACAATAGCAAGCGAGAAAGGGGACCCAAGGACTCCAGCAGCCTGATATGGAAGTGCCTTTCTCAGGCACAGACCCATATCCGGAGGCAGAATTAAGATACAAACTCTGAAAGAGACTGAGAGTGACACCAGCCAAATTTCCTCGAAGAAAAGTCCCAGTCCCCATCCTAACAGCCCACAGGTGATGGATTCCTACGAGAAGATCATGAGAGATTTCTAGGGAATGTTCTAGAAATGGAGACACAGTCCCAACGACTTACTGGTAAAGACCAAGGCCAGGAAACATGACACTCTAGTTCCTGAATCACTATATACTTCCCAACACTCACTTTGGATTCTCTCTAGACGACCTTGAAATGACTAGCAATGCAATCCTTCACTGAAAACTGCTGTGCCTCCCAGTAGGGAGTCAGCCAGAATGTATTGCCAGTAAGCACTTCCCCAAAACCGCTGCTTCCGGAAGCGCTGCCTACAATCCACTTTCACAGCAGAATCAACAGCCCCACAGTGAGAATATGTATGAGGGGCCTGAGTGCGGCAATGTGTCAGGGACCTGACGCTATTGTTAGGTGAACTAATGTCTTTTTGAAATAACTATTTATTTATTTTTACTCAAAAGAGTTACAGATAAGAAAGAAAGAAAGAAAGAAAGAAAGAAAGAAAGAAACAAAGAAACAAAGAAACAAAGAAACAAAGAAACAAAGAAAAAGAAAGAAAGAAAGTTAGCTAGCTTACATTTGCTGGTTCATTCCCCAAATGCCAATGGCAAGAACTGGACTAGTCTGAAGCCAGGAGCTTCTTCCAGGTTTTGCACGTGGGTGCATGGTCCCAATGACTTGGGCCATCCTCTACTGCTTTCCCTAGTCACAAGCAGTGAGTTGCACGGGAAGTGGAGCAGCCATGACTAGAACTAGTGCCCATATGCGATGCCAGCACCGCAGGTGGAGGATTCATGTGCTATGCTACCATGCCGGCTCCATGAACTTACACTTCAAAACAACTCCAACAACTCCCTTTGCTTTGTGCAAGGGATTAGTTGGGTGGGCATGGGCAACAGGGAACAACAATACCAGTGTAGCTGGGTGCCCCCCACAGTTGATAGCAGATGTTCCTGCCAGGGTGTTCTGGATGTAGTCACACAGTCTGCTGAAGACACAGAGGAACCAAAGGCTGACCTCTCTGAACGCAGGGAGCCTGCAGGGCGTCTTCGCACGCAAGCTGCTTTGCTCTGAGTGAAAGATTCCCCATCTCCTCCATCAGATTTCCCATTTTTTCCCCTACAGATGAATTTATTTATGCATTAAAAAGGCAGAAATTCAAACAGAAAGAGCCAGATCTTTCATGTGCTGGCTCATTCCGCAGATGGCCGTAGCATCCAGGGCTGGGCCAGGCCAAAGTCCCGAGCAAGGACGTTCATCTGCCTCTCTCACATAGATGCAAGACCCCAAGGACTTAGAAGAGCCGCTGCTGCTTTCCCAGGCACATTACCTGTGAGCTGGATTCGAAGTGAAGCATCTGGGACTCAAACGGGTTTAACCTGCTATGCCACAAAAGCGGCCCCAGAGCTAATTTCTTAAAACTCTCAGATAAGCATTGTAGCACACAACAATGCCGCTTGCAATCCCACCTTTCATATTGAAACATCTGTTCAGGCACCACCTGCTCTCTTTCTAAGCCAGCTCCCTGCTAATGCTCCTGGGGATGCAGTGAAAAATGGTCCAAGTACTTTGGACCTTTGCCACCCACAGGGGAGATCTGGAGAGAGCTCCTGGCTCCTGCCTTCGCACTGACCAGACCTGACTGCTGTGGCCATTTGGGGAGTGAACCAGGAAATGGAAGATATTTTGTCTTTCCCTCTGTCTGCGTATCACTCTGCCTTTCAATACATGTGCTTTTAAAAAATTCTCAGTATACCTATCCTTTTGGGTCTGCTTCTCTGGAAGACCCTACCTGATACCCACTTGCCCATGAGGGACAACATTTATTACATTGAATCTGGATGTAAAGAAGACTTAACACTCAGCCCAGCATAGAGCCCCGTGTGGACCCTGATATTTACCTGCAAACTAACCAACCAGTAAGTGATCAGCTAGGCAGCGGCTGCCAGGCAAGCCACCTTGGGGACCAAGCTCAACGACAAACAGTGGCCAGCAGACAAGTATTTTTTTTTCTTAAGGAGCTCAGAATCAGCCCTTGTAATAAAAGCAGTTTTCAGAAACCAAGAACTCCTTCCAGTGTTACAGGAAACCTTTGAAAAGACCTTCCCAGAAAGGTGCCAGAGCTAAGAGCAACAAGCTCCAGCTTTATCACAAGCCACCCATCAACGTGCAATTGAGAAATATTCCCCGGCCAAGGAAGGCCGACAGAAAAGAAATGAGTTCCATTACCAAATGACAGGAGTTGCAGAAAGAACAGCGTTATGTTTGTTCTGATGGATGTTCTAATAAAAAGACACAAAAATGATTAGAAACAATAAAATTAAATCACCAAATACAGTTCATTTGTTTTATACTATGAATTAGATTCTTGCATTGGCTGGAAGATGGGACTATATCACTTCTAATTTTAGGAAACAATAAAAAGAAGGACACATGACAACAAGTCTTTCATGGCTACCAAACTACTCCTATGGCACCACAGCAGCCACAGTAGAATCACTAAGAGCCATGGTAACCAGGTAGACATAAACATGGTACCCCAGCTTCCTGCTCCCCTGCTCCTGCCATAGGTGGCCCAGGTCACACCAGATTTTTCTTTCCAAGATAAAAATGAAAGGGCTGCTGGTTCAAATCCAAGCTGTCCCACTTACAATCTAACTCCTTGCTAATGTGCCTAGGAAAGCAGCAGATGGTGGTCCAAGGGTTCAGCCACCTGTATCCACAAAGGAGACCTGGATGAAACTTCTGGCTCCTAGCTTCTGCCGGGCTGAGCCCTGGCTCTTGCAAGCTTCTAGCAAATAAACTGGTATCTCCTCATCTCCCTTCCCTTTGTAACTCTGGCTTTCAAATAAATAAATCTTTAAAAAAAAAAAAACAGCAATGGTGGGTCTCAGAAGGGATGATCCAGCCTGCTCCTTGCCTAGAACAATTACAACAGCTCACAGAACACTACTTGCCAGTGTCCTGAAACACGCTGAAGGTAAACATCAAGTCAAGAGCAGAGGCTCCACGCTGCAGGAACAAGTGGCGCCGAGTCGGGGGCTGCAGCCGCAGGAGGAGGCATCCGAGCAGCTGGTGCCCCTGAGGAAGACACCCTCTCTCTGCAAGGACGGATCCTTCACCAAGGCTTCAGAGTTTGTGTTTTGAAGTCTCCCCCCTACGTTGGGCAAAATGTGCCAAGTCAATGGCCAGGTGCTCAGTCCCTTTCCTGCGTTCTCCATGAGCCCAGGCCAAGCCCCCAAGTAGAAGCTCACAGTTAGAGCATTCCTGCGGCAGAGTCCCAGGCTTGGTGGCCACCCCCAAGCGAGCATGGTCAGCGGTGGCATGGTCAGCAACGGCATGGACATGGCCTTGAACACGACAAAGAAAGGCCATCGACAGGAAAGAAATCTCACAAGGAACTCTACCACTTTGTCAGCCAGCAGTTCTGAGAACAGCCCTCCCTTCCTCATGGATCAGCTTGATCTTTTGCCACAAGGATCATTTCCAAAGCTCACCGGGCCTAAGACTGTCCCCTGGGAACAGGTGGATGTGCCCCAGCAAGGCCAGATGCTCTTCCAACCCACATCCTTGGCTCTTCCTGGTCTGCCCCTCGTAGGACAAGTTCTCCCGCTCCTCCTTTTGCCCCTCACCAAGTTGGCCTCTCCCTAGCACTGACTGTCACAGAAGAACGCTCAGTTTCCTCACTTCTTCTCTTCCTGACACACACCGAGGTTTGTCCTCAGCAAAGGAAGCAGAACAGTCCATGCGGGCAGAAACAGGAGAGCCGAGGCTGGGAGGGAACGGGCACACCAGCTGTGCAGAAGCACCTGCCATGCATCCCTGCTGCCTTTAGTGTGCCGACTCCATCACCCGCCCTCACCGAAAGCAGAGTTGTGGTTTGACTTTGGTTATTTTCTGTGCTCTTTCGCAACAATTTTGCAGAAATCATGGTTTCTGCTACTCAGGTTCTGATCATAATCTGCCTTCTCGCTCATGAAAACGGTCTGCTTAAATAACTCCAATATCACACCTAAGATAGGAAAACCACGGCTCTTCCAACAGGGCTTTCACTTGGCAAAGCTCGGGGTCACATCACCAAATGCACCCACATCACAAGGGGCTGTCACTCCAGAAATGTTGAAGTCGGTCTACAATAAACCACGCTCCTTGGGGGATTAAAGCTCCACTCCCACTTAACGTTAACTCCAACAGCTTCTCCCCTTCCCTCCCCCCCACTCATCTGTCCCTTTGCTTAACTCTCTCTACTGTAGGTAGTTATCATCCCTGGGGAAATGCAACCCATTTGTAGGCCACAATTATGCAACCTGGTAATAAGCGTGCTTGCCCTTCTTCTAGTTCCTTTGATTCTAAGGAGCCAGACATCATGACTACTTCTTGCAAGACCCTCATGCACAAATTCATTCCAAGCATCTTAAAAATCATACAGAGATTTATATAACCACATGTTTGCCACTGATACATAACTCAAGTCAGACATTTGGTGAGTTTTCTCTGGCAGATGCGTTTGGTCTCTCCCATCCATCCCTGTTTCTATGCACACACACACATGAATACAAGGGTTTGCATTTATACAAACAGACTGGTCCACACTGCTAGGCTTCTGCTCACCTCCGAGGGCTTCGTGCTGCACGTCCCTCTTCCAGAGCAAGGCAGGTCGTTGGCATGGCTCTCACCTGGCACACAGGTGCTGGCCTTCACCACCAGAGTCAAACGCAAAGCCACGATAGATTTAGTAACAGAATCGTTCACAAAACCTAAAGGAAAATGGAAGAACAGGAAATGTAAGATAAAGCTTTGTCAACAGCCTTCCCATGAGACTGTGAGTTCAGCCACAGCGTCATTCCAGTCTGAGCAACTAAACAACAGGTGATATGGCAAAGGAAGAGGCGCACGCCCAGTCCACTTGGACTTCAGATTTTTAAGGGGAAGGAGTCCTCCCCAGCAGCTTGCAGAACCATGACGCCAAAACAAGGGAGCCCCACGCGGTCTCTCAATGCCACCTCTGCACTTAAGCCTTTGAATTCAACCTGCTTTGAACTCCAGGCTTCTCCCAGGGTGTGAGCGCCACCCAGCTCTTCCTCCCTCACTCTTCTGGGTACTCACAGGTGCCGGAAGTTCCCAGAAGTCTGCCAGTTATGAGCCTGCCCTAGAGGCTCCCAGGCTCCTCACAGGAGGACATGCAATACAGCTGGGAATTCTAGGTTGGGTTTACAAAAGATCATCTTACTTGCTCGCCAATCTGCACAGTGTCAATATAAGCCAGTTCTACTGTAACTAATAAAACAGGACTAATCACGGTTCAGTATTGATTACGCTATCAATGATATTTATCAGCGAATGATCCTTGTGTCTAATGCAATCATTTGCATACAATCAACAGCAATAAATGTGGAATGACATAGTGAATGAACACAGCCTCTAACTAGAACAGAGATAATTAAATTATTTCACTGAGTATCTCTGTTTCAAAATTATCTATTTCTCTGAAAGACACACACACACAGGCATTCCACCCACTGGTTTGCTCCCAAATGGCTGCCAGCCAGGGCTGGCCAGGTAAGAAGCCAGGACCCAGGAGCTTTTTCTGAGTCTCCCACATACACACAGGGGTCCAAGCACTTGGGCCATCTTCTGCTATTTCCCAGGCATATTTGCAAGAAGCTGCATTAAAAGTAAAACAGCCGGGCCCGGTGCGGTGGCACAGTGGTTAAGGTCCTTGCCTTGCACGGCCCAAGATCCCATATGGGCGCCGGTTCAATCCCGGCAGCCCCGCTTCCCATCCAGCTCCCTGCCTGTGGCCTGGGAAGGCAGTCAAGGATGACCCAAAGCTTTGGGACCCTGCACCCGTGTGGGAGACCCGGAGGAGGCTCCCAGCTTCAGATCAGCATGGTATCGGCCGTTGCACTCATTTGGGGAGTGAATCATCGGTCGGAAGATCTTCCTCACTGTATATCCGCCTTTCCAATAAAAAAATAAATCTTTAAAAAAAAAAAAAGTGAAACAGCCAGGGCACAAACTGGAACCCATATGGGAGGCCAACTTCTAATGCAGCATCTTTACCCTTTACACCACAATACAGCCCCTCCCAAATTGTGTGTGTGTGTGTGTGTGTGTGTGTTAATATTCCCTGGGGCCTGGTGCAATAGCCTAGTGGCTAAACTCATCATCTTGCACACCCACGATCCTATACGGGTGCCAGTTCGTATCCCAGCTGCTCCACTTCCCTTCTAGCACCATGCTTGAGGACTGGGAAGGCAGAAGAGGAAGGCTCAAACTCCTGGGACCCTGCACCCATATGCTTGGGATCATGCACCCACATGGTGGATCCGGAAAAGAATCCTGGCTCCTGATTTCAGATCAACTCAGCTCTGACCATTACAGCCACAGGGGGAGTGAATCAGTGGACAGAAGATCTTCCTCTTTGTCTCTACTTTCTCTATAAATCTGACTTTCCAATAAAAATAAATAAATCTTAAATATATATATATATTCCTTTCCTCCTTTAATGGAAAACAAAGCACATATCAAGGGCCCTGGCTAAATCCTCGCCTTGCACACACCAGAATCCCATGTGAGCACCGGTTCATGTCTCAGCTGTTTCACTTCCCATCTACTTCCCATCCAGCTCCCTGCTTGTGGCCTGGGAAAGCAGTGGAGGACGGCCCAAAGCCTTGGGACCTGCACCTGCATGCGAGATCCAGAAGAGGCTCCAGACTCCTGGCTTCAGATCGGCTCAGCTCCAGCCATTGCGGACACTTGGGGGATGAACCGATGGACAGAAGATCTTTATCTCTGTCTTTCTTTCTCTCTGTAAATTTGCCTTTCCAATTAAAATAAATAAATCTTTTTAAAAAACACATATCAAAATTCATGAATATTATAAGATATTCAAAGCAAATTGCTCCATTCTCTGTTGAAGAGTAAGATTAAGCCCAAGAGTTTCAGTGTCAGAAAACCGTGTCCATATTGACTTTTAAGAGAAGAGATTTTTTAGGATAAAGAAATTCAGACAAGAAAACAACGGACTTCAGAGCAACCAAAATACTCATTGACCAGAAAATATTTACACTTGTATCTGGATCCCTACCTCCTACTACATCATAACTAAAGAACTAAAAATGAAACAACAATATTTTAAGCTCCAACTGGAAAATACAGAAGGTTATTTTTTTGATTCGTTAAATATGATACAAAATAACAACACAAAAATGTATGTTAATAAATTTAAATGCAATAATTTATATGTTGAAGATAAATTTGATTTAATATATATGTAATTTAACATCTGAAATTCAAATTTTAATTGCATGTAAATTTACTATGCACAAGGAGAGTTGATTCGACACAGGCTTGGAAATGAGATATGTAATACAAAAAGCCAGCAAATGATTAACTTTTAGGATACAGAATTCTTCTTGCAAATAACTTTTGTGGCTTAATATTATGTATAGTTAATGAACATTAAAATTTACAAAGCAGGGATCCTATGTGGGCGGCACTGGTAGACACACACATTTCCACAAATAATACGTAAGGATGCCCAGAAAGAGATCAACCAGGCTCAAAGGGAAAGTGAAGGTGGCAAGGAGGGCACTTCTGGCTGAATATATAATATCTCAGTTATTAATCCTATAGAAAGAAAATAAGGCAAATGCAAAAAGACGCCTTCCATGTTTTCCTATAGCTTTACACACATTTTAAACATTGTGTAACCAAATTTTTAATTCAGATTATTTATTAGGGTTCAGGCATCACATCTCCAAAGTGGCTCTGTCAGACTACAAAACACCGTGTGAAGTGTGGCACTGTGGCACAGCAGGCTAGATCACTGCCTAAGACACTGGCATCCCACACGGGTACTGGTTCATGTCCTGGCTATTGGCATCCCATACGGGTACTGGTTCATGTCCTGGCTATACTACTTTCAATCCATCTCCCTGCCAACTGCCTTGGGAAATAACCACAGCAAGGCCCAAATGCTTGGATTCCTGCACCCATGTGGATGACCCAAAGGAAGCTCCTTGTTCATGGCTTCAGCCTGGCCCAACCACGGCCCGACCCTACTTGTTACAACCATTTGGGGAGTAAATCATTGGGTGCAAGAGCTCTATGTGCCTGGTACTCTCTCTTTCTAACTCTGCCTTTCAAATAATTAAATTTGTTTAAAAGGAAAAATATAGTGTCTGGAGATCTGGACCAGACAGCCCAAAAATGATTTTGCTGTCACTCTCTACATACATCTCCAGCAGTCTTTGCCCTGCCATGGCAAATCCCTTTCTCTGACACAAGCACGGACCTGCATCTGGAAATCCGTTGTCAGTAAATGGCATCAAACAGCGATAAAGCAGATAAAAGATGGAACACACACTGATTAACCTGACTTGCATGGAATCTAACATCAGCTCATTAATTCAGGTCATTTAAGAACATGCTGCTTCCGTTCACAATAAATTAGCAACTTTCCAAAGATGTCCATGTGCTCGGTTTAGAACCCCTCGCACACCGAAGTGCTGTACGCTCCTGAAACGCTTTATCACAGATGCATGCAAAGTGCTGCTGACACATTTACTCCACTTACTTCCAAACACAAGGGTATTTTGAGAAATTTGGCCTCAGCAGTTAACAAGAGACTTCCCACATTGTTTCCTTTTCCAAGGTTCTTTTTAAAAATAAGACATCTCTCTTGGTCTCCGAGCTATTTCTGCTTGTCCTTAGGGGAAGTTATAAAGACAACATCACAGAAGTATGCGATCAATGAAAACTCTTTCTGGAAACAGATTATGGCTTCAAACGGATGAGTGGGAAGTGCCTGGATGCAAATATATACAGGCATGTAAGCACACATTTTATACACATATAAGACAGATCTTGCAATACACACATACACACACAGTTTTAAAGATGGTTATGTCTGAAGGCTTCACAAAAATACATCTTAAAGTTTAAAAAAGTGTGCCCAGTGAGGTAACCTAGTGGCTAAGGTCCTCACCTTGTCCCTGCCAGGATCCCATATGGACACCAGATCTAATCCCGGCTGCCCCGTTTCCCACCCAGCTCCCTGCTTGTGACCTGGGAAAGCAATCGAGGACGACCCAAGGTCTTGGGACCCTGCACTCACGTGGAAAGAAGCTCCTGGCTTCTGGCTGCAGATCGGCTCAGCTCCAGCCATTACAGAGCATGGGAAGTGACTCAGCAGATAGAAGATCTTCCTCTCTGTCTCTCCTTCTCTGTATATCTGACTTCCAAATAAAAATTTTTTTAATCTTAAAAAAAAAAAAGTTTAAGAAACTGAAACCCACCTTCTAAAAGACTATAGTTCCTGCCTGCAAAGGAAAAAGGGCAGGACACTGGACACAAGAGGTACCACGCCCCACTGAACAGCCCATCTGTGAGCCTCACCAACATCAATCATGTAAACACTGACGTATCCAACTACGACAACCCACGTGCAGCCCGTTACACTCACCTGCAGAACTGTCCGGCTCCTAGGAAAGCAACTGGCGGGCAAGGATTTCCCTTCAAGGTAACTTCCGAGGCAAAAGGAATGTGCCCTCTCTGGGATTCTGAGACATGATAAACCTCAAGGCTCCCCTGAGTGCCCTGGGTTGGCTGACAAGGTCCTTTCCCTCCTAGAACTGCTTCTAGCTGCTAGACTAAGTCTCCAGGTTGCCTCCGTATTTCCTGAACACTCATGGAAGTCTTGCTAAAGTTATTGACTTCAGGAGTTGCCATATTCCACACAGTCTTACAGAGA